CTATAATCGCACTAGCAGTATATGAGAGTTCTAGGTCTTCTATATCCCCTCCAACACCTGGTATTATTGGTGGTTATAATTTTAGCCTTTTTTGTGGATATGAAGTGGTATGTCATTGTAGTTTTAAATATGCATTTTCATGATGACTAAATGATATTAAGTATCTTTCCATGTGCTTATGGGAAAATCATATATCTTCTTTTATGAATCATCTTTTAAAATATTTTTCCAGTTTTTAGTGGGTTGACTTATTTTTAAGTTTTTTGAGCTCCTCATGAATTCTAGATATAAGCCATTTGTCAGACATGTGTAATGCCAATATTTTCTTCTATTCTTTAGCTTGAATTCTGGGTTTATTAGTGCTCATTTAAAGAGCAGAATTTTTAGTTTTGATTAAGTTCAACTTATCATTTCGCTTTTAGTTTTACCCTTTGATCTCCTATTTAGGGAATCTTTACTGATTCTATAGAAAGCAAATGTTATAGATATGGATTTAATGTTTAAGTTTATGACACATTTCAAGTTGGTATGTGTATAATATGAGGTGAGTGTTGACCTTAGTTTTTTAATGCACATGAGTAAACTATTGTTCCAGAGCCATTCCTTTCTCTGTTGAATTAATATGGCACCCTCATCAAAAGTCATTTGAGTATATATGCATGTGTGTATAAGGCAACATTATATATTTATTTATTTCTGGGATATCTATTTTGTTTCATTGATTAAATTCTATTCTTAGGTTAGTACTACACCATTTTGATTACTGAACCTTTATAGTAAGTCTTCCAATCCAGGAGTGTGAGTAGTCCAAGTTTATCCTTAAAAAAAAAATTTTAGCAATTCTAAGTTTATTTTCATATAAATTTTTGAATTATCAATTTCTATAAAAAATGAAAACTTGATTTAGAATGGAATTTTGATAAATCTGTCAATTTAAGTAGAATTACATTTTATTTATTTATTTATTTATTTTTAAAGATTTTATTTATTTGTTAGAGAGAGAGAGGGAGAGAGAGCAAGCACAGGCAGACAGAATGGCAGGCAGAGGCAGAGGGAGAAGCAGGCCCCCTGCCGAGCAAGGAGCCCTATGCGGGACTCGATCCCAGGACGCTGGGATCATGACCTGAGCCGAAGGCAGCTGCTTAACCAACTGAGCCACCCAGGCGTCCCAGTAGAACTACATTTTAATATTGAGTAGTTTAAACTATGATCTGATGTTCTTTAGTTTCACACAGAAGTTTAATAGTTTCTAATGTATAAGGAGTGTACATATTTTGTAAAATTTATCCCTAAGAACTTTATTTTTTTGTAAATGGTATATCTTTTCAATTTTTTTTGTAACTAGAGAAATCAATTGATTCTTTCTATTGAGCTTACATTCTATAATCAAAACAAATCTGATTATTAATTCTAGGAGCTTTTTTGAGGGTTTCATAGGATTTAGGCAGGTTCTGTCATCATTCTTTCCAGTCCGTGTATGTTTTTATCTCTTGCATTATTGCATTGGCTAGGACTTTACCCCCTCCCTTACTCCAGCCTGGAACAATGTTGAATAAAAGTGATGAGAGGAAGTTTACTTTGTTTCGAATTTTAGAGAAAAATATTTATTTTCACCATTTATATGAGTTAGCTTTTCATAAATGAACTTTATCAGACTGAAGAAATTCTCTTTTAATCCTAATTTCATGAGATATTTTATAATCAATGAATATTGAATTTTATCAAATGCTTTTTCTGTATCTATTGAAGTAAGCATATGAGATTTTTTCCTTTATTCTGATAATATATTGCATTATAATAACTGATTTCCAAATGTCAGAAAACCTTGGATTCCCGGGATAAATTTCACTTAGTATTTTTTATATTGCTGAATTTTAGTTGCTAATATTTAGTTAATAGTTTTTTGGTTTTTTTTTTTTTTTTTATTTTTGTTTTTGTGGGCTATTTTAGGGTTTATCTAGAGTCACCCTCACTCTAGGGGTATTTTAGCATAACTACTAAAGTGTGACTCTTGTGATATCATCAATTGAGGTGATCAATAAGGATTTTCCAATATAGCTGGTCAGACCGTGAATGTCTTTCTGCCCTGGATGATGTCTAGGAATTTTCAGCAAACAGCTCTTTTTTGCCTGGTTTCATGAAGACTTACCCTAAGTGCTTGCACAGTTTAATATCCCATTATCAACAGATAGAAAGTCACCTATATGCAAATTTTATGGAGGTCATCGTGTAGCTCCTTCCTGTCTGGTACTGTGCTCCACGAATTCCAGCTACTGTAGGCCCCTTGCTCCAAACTATGTCTCCTCAACCCAGTGTGACTTTCAGGTTCTACTTAGGGATCCTCTTCTATGCAGTTGGTCTGAAATGTGTCAAAGTCAGGCCCTCATAGGGCTAACAATTTTATTTCTCTCTTTTCATGGATCATGGTCTTGTTCTGCCTTTTGTTCATTGTCTGAAAAAGTTGTTTAGTTTTTTAATTATTTATAGGGGTATGATAAATACAGTCCCTGTTTTTAACTATGGCCAGGAGTATAATGCTTTCACCCATTTTTTTAAGATAAATTAACTTAGATTAAAAAGACTAAGTAGTACAGTGATGAGGAACAGAGATTTGCGATTTAGGTTGGAATCCAAATTTTTGCTGTTTACTCGTTGTACAACCTGGGTAAGTTATATAACTTTCTGTCTTGGCTTCCATATCTTTAAAATGGATATGCTTATGTTTGTGTTTATGATGATAACAACAATAAAAATAATATAATATAATATTAGAAATTATTTCTTACCATTATTGTGATGATTAACCAAGATGATGAATGTGAAGTGTTTAACATAATGCCTGGCATGTAGTCAATCTTGGATATGGTGTTAGGAAACTAATGATATTGTCCATGATCATGTCAGTAGAATTCTGACTTCAAGTTCAGGAATGTAACATTGATGGACATGATAGATGTTTTTCCATTATTTATCAAAACACTTTTTTTTTTTTTAAGTATCCAGAACAGGAAAATATATTCAGGTCCACCCGCAGGGCAAATCCCCCTGAAGCAATGACAAAGTATACTCATTTAATAAAACATGAGAAACCTAGTTTGTGTTGGTGGGGAAATTTTTAAGGGAAGATCTGTGCATAATTCACCATTAATTCTTAGCTCAGGATAGCTATTATTTAATTAACCACAATGATGGATATCTTGAATATGGGTCATAATAAACAGTTTCATATTTTTGATACTAGTGTCATCCAAAGCATAAGTTTTAAAGGACATATCCAGTTTTCTTTTTAGAACCCCACAAAGTTCTGAATAATCACAAATAGGGCTCAACAGAGGAAAATCAAGGGAGGCTAGTATGTTCATTGATGAAGGTTTGTTTATGTCCTAAGTTGATCCTCATGATGGCAGGTAGACAAGAAATAAGACATAGATTTGTCAGATGTATAATGAAATATTTCAGCTCAGCAAGGGGAATTTAGAAGTCTTTCTCTGCTAGCTGATCACAGCCACTGTGTTGGCCAGCAACATCTGCTTATTCTCAGATGACAACAGTGCCAGTTAATTAGCTCTTGTTTATGTTTTGCCTATTGATAGACTTAAATTATATTCATATTGTCGTGCAGAATAAATACATAAAAAGGTTTAGCTTTGATCTAATTACAGCCTTTCTATTGCTGCAGTGACATTTGAACTGTATATCAGAATAAAAAGATTATAATAAGTCAGGCATAAAAAGTGATCTAAATCAGATAATTTAAAAAACCATCTGATTAATAATAATTCTGGTCGAAAACAAAATACGCTACTTCAACAGAAGTTTAAAGTTGATTTATCAAAATGCAGACATTAGTGCTACAAAATGGCACTAATATCTCTGCCAAGTCCTCAATCCTCTTTTCACTTGGACTGTTTTAAAGATTTAATGCTATATTTATTAGTATAAAGCATATTCTTTATGGAAAAATCTTGAACTAGAAAGAGTTGCATTCTTTTATGACCATCAAAAAGCTTTCCCTCTTCTGATCCTTATAAACTCTCTTCCGATAATACTCATGAAAAGTCAAATAAACGGTTTTTCTAGAAGCCAGAATAACGTATCACTTGTAGTAATTTAAACCGCAGCAAAGTTTGCTTCTTTGCAGTACGTTCTGTGTAACAAGACTTCCACTGAGGAGCTCAGCTCAGTACAGCATTCTAGGTGTGTTTTCACTTTCTAGAAGGAGTATTTTCCTTCTGAAGACAAATATTCTGTGGTTGGCCTTCTCCAACCTTTGTTCTTCCCATTTAGAGGCTTCTAGGTTAGAGGTGATCATAGGTAAAGCATCCCTCAAGGGAAGTGTATGTCTTGGATAGCCTTGCTTTTTTCTCTACCTTCTTGCTTGCTTTTTCCCCAAGCCCATATCCCCCTTCTCTCTTCTCAAAGAAACACAAAGGAACACCATTCAGTAATACAGACATGCTTGTTTGGTGTGTCCTTAATTAGAAATAGTCCAGACATCAGGAACCTAAAACCAAGATGATTATACAGTTCTTTAAGCTGGAAGTTTTGAAATACTGCGCAAAAAAAGAAATTTTAAAAAGCAGTTTTGAATCTATCATTCTGTCTCCACTACACTGCTCTCACATCGCTAAGATAATTTAGCAGGGAAAACAGTTTAGGTAATCATTAACTTAAAGAGCTGTCTGTCACTGGCAGCTTATTAGTTCCAAGGCTTTCCACAGAACTTCAGCCAACATGACATTTTGATCCCTTGTGTCCAAGAAGTGGTCAAGGTTGATCAGTCAGCTTTCAGCAGAAGAATTTGTTCTTGATGGAGGGGCAGCTATAATTGTAAGGTATTCTTAGGCAAGTGATACACTGAAAAATAATATCATAATTGCATATTTATGAAGTGTTGATTTCTACAAACTGGGGATTTGATGATAACTGCTAGAACAAATCATTATATTCCTAAAAAAAAATTAAAGAAAAAAATAAAAATGCACATACTGTCAACCAAATTGATTATGAAAAATCTCAATCCTGTTATCATCTTAATGAATGCAGTACAGAGTGTCATAAATGCCCCTTACAGCCTTGTCACAGTGTGAATTACAAATAGAAAGACCAAATAAATGGTAAACTGACTTCTCTTTCATGGAGTCTGATTTGTGAATCCTTTGCTCCTTTCTCACTTATTACAGATGCCTTTCATTAGTGAATTCTCATATTCAAATAATCAGCCCCCAAATATTCATAATTATGGGAAGACAATACCATTGCCATTTTCACAGTCACAGTATGTTATTTTTAGTGAGTTGAATATAGTAAGTATTTATTAAAAGTAACACATGAAAATACAAATAAAGTATCTTTATGTACAAAGTGGCATGGCATGATTTCTACCTAAATTTAATAATACACTTGCAAATTGCCCCTGCATTAACATAGTACAAAACAATAAATACAAACGTCAGGTAATATAAGAACACCAAGAAAATAGGAAAGTCTCCATGGATAAGAACTGTTGGCTCTGGAAACTTTAAACTCGAAGGTCATGTCATCATGAACCCACCTGCCTAGGCTGTCAGGATAACTGCTCACAAATGTCCTTCCTAAAACTCGATCTCCTAAGAATATTCCTGTAAAATGTAAGAATGTGCTTTTTCACTTCTCAAATGACGGGAGAGGCCCAGGCTTCTTTGTGATTCTCTAAAATTATTGCATGTCATCTGGACATCACTTTATTGGGACAGGTGACTGGCACAGACTGGAGAGCAGGAATGGAAGTCAGGATTGAGTCCACAAATTGAATATCCCTTCTTATCCCTGGAGCACAGAAGCTGAAGATTAAGCCTGTGGGGTGGAAAAAGAAAGTTCAGATTCCAAGAAAGGAAGGAAGTAGAGACGCTGGAAGGGCCATTTCTTGTTAAGAAATGTTAATAACTTGCTGAATTTTTTCCACCCAGTGGAATCACTTGACTATCTCACAAGCACTTCCAAACTCAACATGTCAACAAAACACACTACAGTAACCTCACCCCCATCCCAATCTATGGCTTTGTTTCTCATGATTTCAGTTACTTGCAGTCAAACTCAGTCTGGAAGCAGCTAATCCTCCTTCTGATCTATTGTTAAGAAGGTCAATAGTTTGTAGCAACATGGATGGGACTGGAAGAGATTATGCTGAGTGAAATAAGTCAAGCAGAGAGAGTCAATTATCATATGGTTTCACTTATTTATGGAGCATAACAAATAGCATGGAGGACATGGGGAGTTAGGAGAAGGGAGTTGGGGGAAATTGGAAGGGGAGGTGAACAATGAGAGACTATGGACTCTGAAAAACAATCTGAAGGGTTTGAAGAGGTGGGGGGGTGGGAGATTGGGGGAACCAGGTGGTGGGTATTAGAGAGGGCATGGATTGCATGGAGCACTGGGTGTGGTACAAAAACAATGAATACAGTTATGCTGAAAATAAATAAAAAAAAAGATTATAAAAAAAAGTATCAATAAACATATAATTATAAGTAAATATTTATATATTATAGTAACTATAAATATAAATAAAAATATAAATATGTAATAAACAGCATGAATACATATTTGTATATTATATTAAATATATATAAATATTAAAAAAAAGAAGGTCAATAGTAGCTTGAGGCTATGTCACAACACCTATGTCAGTCACCTTCATCTCACCAAGCAGACATTTTGTCATCTTACATCATCATAAGAAGGGTGAGTACAATATAATATTTGAAGAGAGAGAAAAACTGCATTCACATAACTTTTATTACAGTTTATTTTTAAAACTCGTATTTTAGTATCAGTTATTGTTGTTAATCTCTTCCTGTGCCTTATTTGTAAATTAAACCCTATCGTAGGTGTGTATGTACAGGAAAAAACACAGTATGTACAGGGTTTAGTACTATCCATGATTTCAGGCATCCATTGGGGGTCTTGGAATATGTGCACTGCCTGCCAAACCTGTTTCTCTCACCACACAATTCTAATCTTTGCTGTAACCTCCATGGTCCACCCAGGCACTTATGTTGGAAATGTGGACATATCTATATTCCCAATCTTCCTCATTCCCCAGTGCCCACATTCAATCAACCATGACCTCTGGAGACGTTTACCTTCCAGACATTTCTCTATTCCATTCTGCCTCTTCATCTCCATCCCTACTGTACCTGCAGAACTGGTGAAGCCCTTGAGCTTTACTTAGGCAATCAATAGTGCAACAGTTTTTTGTTGTTGTTGTTTTTTTTTTAACTTCTCTGCTTCCAGTCTTATTCCTCTTGAATTAATCTTTATTAAACACTTGGTGATGTGTCTTCAGCACAAATCTCGTCATATTCCTCTTCTGATTAAAGTCCTTGACTCTACCCTATCATTAATGGGACACAGCTCAAGGTTTGTTCCTTGGGGTGACAATGTGAAAAATGGAGATATTTATTAGCAATTTTTAAGCTTTGCTGCTGTGTGTTTATCAGGGGGAAGCATGAACAGACAACTCTCTACTTCTTCTTCACAAGGAGAGAAGGAGAGCCAGAGCTTTCTTTATGACTTTGGGGTTTGCTTCTTTGCAGTGCAGAAACAACTTTATCTGTTGGTCCCACAAGGAGCAGAAGATGGAGACTTTTGTGCCTAAGTGGAAAAGGGTAAGTGGTCTAACCTGGCAAATAGATGTTGTCATGTTGTTGATGGCAGGACTGGCAGTTCCCAAGCATCTGGATGGGGTAGGCCCTGGTACCAGGGGTAAAAACCTGCACCCTGCTCCTTCATAGCATGGTTGGTGACTGCAGGTACTTTGGTAGGGATGGTTAGTCATACTTCTGCCTCACGTGGAGGAAAACCAAACCTTGGCTGCCATGGTGGGGAGTGGTTTGGAGAGCAGTAAGTGGCCACAGGATCCATGTCAAGCTTTAGTCTATGGAAAAGATCATAGAGCAGAGTATTTCTGATGTCCTCCCAGAGTATCTGCAGTAGACAGATGGTCCAGTTTATGCTAGAGCGTAGCATAGCTCTAGAAGAAGAACAGTGATCATAAGCATGACTGCAGAACAGAACCCCCATCTAAAATTTGGAACTGATTTCCTGGATATTTTACATCCAAGTTTGCAGGATTAGGGGGTCTACCAAATTGAATAAATATCTACATGGTGTTAATGAAGAAGGAAAGAACCTCATTTTATTCTGTGTAGAAAACATATTTTATTCTTGCTTTCTGCAGTCCTTGCCCATTTACTGTGGAAAACAAGACCTCCCACTATCGGGTGTCCTCTACTGCTTCAGCCCTGTTTTCCAATCTTTCTGATATTTAACTATATCCTCTAGGCCAGTGCATCTCAAACTATGAATGACTAGGACCGGATATATTTTTTTTCAATTTCTAATCAGCAGCAAAATGATACTAAAAAATATAATAACATGAATAGATTGTTGCAATGATATCAAATTGCTATAATAATTTTTAAAGAATCATACTCAGTTTCTATAATTAATCTCACCATAGAACAGTATCAACAGCTCACTGACCTAGCAGCAGATGTGCATAGCATAGCCCTAGAACAACCAGTTATTTCTATTTTTTTTCATATACCTATAGTTGCTTATCCTAAAAGTCTCAGCTCAAATGCCATCTTTCTAAGCAATTAACCATTAAGTTCAAGGTACCATGTCTAACTTTACATACCACTATCTTATTATTTACCATATTAAAGTAAAATTACCTTCCTTATGTATATTTCTCTTCTCTTCATGGCAACATGCCATGTCCCTGTTTACACCTGGTCTCATACTTGGCAAAAAGCAGGATCTCTGTCACTTTTTGTTCAACTGACCCAGATTCTTCTGTAGGTGAGTTTTCAGGTGCAGTCAAGAGTTTGCAGCACAGACCAACTAGGTGAACACCAGGATTTATGTGAATAGGATAATGCTCTTGATTAATACTGTATTGATTATATTTTTCAAGGATCAGCAAGTAATATGGGAACAAACTGATATTTTCATTAGAGTACTCTTCACATTGATAATCTTTTTTCAAGACTTGGATTTTGCTACATTAATGAATTTTTTTCCTCAGTTAGAAGTTTCAATTTGAATGTACCAGTAATCAGTATTTGCTTCTCTTCCAAAGTTATAATCTCTCTAAATTTAGTGTGCTGTCTTCAGAAATAATAATGCATGACTTTATGGTCACTAAATGTCTCACAACCCTAAAATCTTATAAATTTATGATGCTTATAAGGAAAAAATGATCACACTCAGGAGGAAGCAAGATGGCAGAGGAGTAGGAAACTGAAATAGCATTGGGTCCCAGGAGTTCAGCTAGATAGTTATCTAACCATTCTGAACACCTACAAACTCAACAGGAGATAGAAGAGAAGAAGGACAGCAATTCTAGGGACAGAAAATCAACGAGTTTTGGGAAAGTAGGACATGTGGAGAAGTGAATCTGAAGAGACTGGAAGAAGATAGACCACGGGGGGGGGGAGGGGTCAGCTCCCAGCAAGTGGTGGAGCAGCAAAGCACAAAATCAGAACTTTTAGAAGTCTGCTCCACTGAGGGACATTGCTCCAGAAGCTAAGCAAGTGTGGAGCCATCATGGGGACAGTGTGGTCTCAGGACCCATGGGGACACAGAAAGATTGGGGGTGGCTGACTGTAGTAGAACTGCCAGGTATCGAAGCAGGGAAGCTGGCTACAGAGACGGAGCTGAGGTGGAGGGCTCTCAGATCAAAGTTACCTTAAACAGTGATCCAAGGCACAGTCGGGCCACTGCTCTTTGAGCAGGGACCCCACAAGTGGCAGATCTGGAGATACCCCTTCCTTCCTCCTCTGGGAGGAGTGGCACAGGAGTGTGCAGCAGGAATCTGTTGGGTTTGGAGACTCCAAACGGGGCTGCACACCAGAGATAGAAATGCTCAGTCACAAGCTGGGTGAGCACAGAGTGCAGCTGGAGACGAGGGAGATGGGAGGGATTGACTGGTTTTCTCTGAGGGTGCACTGAGGAGTGGGGCCTCCAGCTCTCAGCTTCTCTGGGGCCAGAGATGGGAGCCTGCCATTTTCATTACTGTCCTCCAAAGCTCTACGGAAAACACTCAGGGAACAAAATCTCCCAAGGGCGAACCCGAGCAGATTACTTAGCCTGGCCCCTGGCAAGGACAGTGCAATTCCACCTCAGGCAAAGACATTTAAGAATCACCTCAATAGGTCCCTCCTCCAGAAGATCAGCAAGAACCAGGTAAGACCAAGTTCATCGATCAACAGAAACAGCAGAATTCCAGAGCTAGGGGAAAGCAAGACATAGAATTCATGGCTTTACCCCCGTGATGCTTTAGTCTTGCAAACATAAATTTTTTTAATGTTATTTTTTTCTTATTCTATTTTTTTAACTTTTCCTGTTTCCTCTTTTAACATTTTAAAACTATGTTATCTTATCAATACCTTTTAAAATGTTCATTGTTATAGTTATGCTTTACCCCTTCATTGTATTTAACCTTATTTTTTGTATACATGTAGGGTTTTTTCCTTTAAAATTTTGGGATAAATTTTTTTTAATAGATCAAAATATACCTTAAATATAGCTCCAGCCTGATCTCCTCTTTTTTTTTTCTTTTCCCAACCAACTTATCAATTCCTTTTTTAGAATCTTTTTAAATTTTCATCTTTATAGGCATATTCCATCCCTTCATTGTGTTTACCCTTATTTTTGTACATATGTAGGTTTTTCTTTCTTTAAAATTTTGAGAGGTAGTTTCTTCTAAGAGACCAGAATACACCCAAAATCAAGTGGGTGACTCTGTTCTATTCACCAGTATGTGTGTGTGTGTATATATATATATATAT